CTGTTCCCAGATTCCTCTTAGCTGTGCTCGGTGCTGACTTCCCCTCGATGGGCTGTGCTTTGGCCTGTGATGACCTTCCTTGCAGAGCCCCTGGCCTCCCGGCCTGGAGTTCCCCTAGCCCTGGCCATCGCAGCTGCTGGCCTTTCCTGGGCCCCTCAGAATAGACCCCAGACTTGCACTTCACTAATGTTCAGTGGTGGATGTGAAGATGGATGGATGGATGGATGGATGGATGGATGGATGGATGGATGGATGGATAGAGAGAGGTAAGGAGAAAGGGATGGGTGGATGGATGGATAGGTAGATGGATGGGAGTGGATGTATGGATAGATAGATGATGTGTGGATGGATGTGGGATGATGGATGGATGTGTGATGGATGGTGGATGGATGGATGGATGTGTGGATGAATGGATGGATGTGTAGATGGATGTGTAGATGGATAGATGGATGGTGGATGATGGATGGATGTGTGGATGGGGGAGGGAGGGAGGGAGGGAGGGAGGGAGGGAGGGAGGGAGGGATGGGTGGAGGGATGGGTGGATGGATGGATGGGTAGGTAGATGGATGTATAAATGAATGGGTGGATGGATGGACGGATGGATGAATGTGTGGATGGATAACAGATAAGTGGTTAGAGGAGTAGAGGAGTGAGGGATGGACTGGCAGACAAGTAAAAGAACAGATGGATATAGATAGATTATAGACAGAGTCCATCAGTTGAACCATCCCAATCCTTAAAGGCCAACATCCCTGCATCAGAGATTACTAGATCGACCCACAGTGGCATCTAGAAAGCTCGCCATGCCTAGAGAAAAACATGAACAGTGGCCCCTGCCTGCCTGGCACTCACAGTCCGCAGTACTTTGACCCCAATCTGCTGTGGGCGCTGCATGGCCAGACCACAGCCAAAGTGACCAAACTCGTGGTCACATCCACTGCAAGCCGAGCTGACTGCTCGGGCGGTTCAGTGCTTAATCCGGGATGCCGGGTCTGTGGCGACGGACTCATTGTTCAATGACCGTCACTGGGATGTGGCGACGGATAGAAAAGGCAACCAGACCTGAAAAGTTACAATGTTGCAGGCGTCACTCTGATGTCTCCCCGCCACGCTGAGAGCTCCTTGGGGCAGAAACGGCTTCTTCTCTCCTTACTGCTAATAACAGGAATTTAACTGAAATTACTCTGTACCTCAATAAATTCAGCACACGTCTATCGATGACAAGGTGACAGACACAGGAACGCCCCCACATGTTCCACGCGATCCTTCCCATCTCCAGGCTCCCTGCTGTCGGACGGGTGTGTGTGTGGCTAGAGCCACCAACAAGAGGGCAGAGGAGGTGACAGGCATCACTTGCAGGAGGGGGCAACAAAAAGCCCTTGCATGATTCTCCTGCCACGCCAGCTGAGGAGGCTGTCAGTTCCCGGCGGCAGAAGAGAACCCCCTCTTCACTCCACCCCACCCTCGCCAGCCCGGCCTCAGGACACGCGGCGTCTGCGGTCAATAAGCTCCCCTTGCGCCTTTGAGACTTCCAGCTACTACAGCATCACCTGGCCTGACCTAACCCCAACACATACAGAATCCTTTATTCTGAATGCTCTGCGTGGTTCCCGCCTTGATGAGCTGGTGGACTTGTGAATCCATCAGCTTTTATTTATTTGGAGTGGATTAACTCTTCAGAGGCACCAAACTATAAAGTATCCGAAACCTGTCACCCATAGTCTTTTTCCTGCCCCCCCTCCGGGTGCCCCCTTCTTTGTACCTCATACCCACTAATGGGGACCCAGCCTATATCTCTTTCTTGTTCTCGAGTAATCCGCACTAAAAGGCAAAGGAATTAGCAGAGAAGCAACCCCCATCCCCCGTCGGGAGTATTTGCACCTCAGAGGGGTTTACTTAAGACGCAGTGGCTCATACCTGTAATCCTAGCACTTTGGGAGGCCAGGGTGGGAGGAATGCTTGAGGCCAGGAGTTCGAGACCAGCCTGGGCAACACAGCAAGATTCCATCTCTACAAAAAAATAAATAAATAAAACAAAAAACTTATCAGGCGGATATGGTGGCACACACCTGTAGTCCAAAGCTACTCGGGAGGCTGAGGCAGAAGGATCGCTTGAGCCCAGGAGTTTGAGGTTGCAATGAGGTAGGATGAAGCCACAGCACTCCAAACTGGGCAACAACAGAAGGAGACCCTGTCTCAAAAAAAAAAAAAAGATGATCTCTTCCCCATTCCCTACCCTCAGACTGCCAAGTGCTTCACCCACCCCACTACATGACAAGACAGAGTGCCCCCACCCCCTCACGGCTGACAATGCACTGACTCGGTTTCCAGCCTGAGGGCTGTGACGTGAAATATAAGACAAGGCCTAAGGGTGACGGCCCAGGTTCCCACACCAGCTAACCCCACTCGCTGGAACAGCCCCAGCGTCTATGAGAAACAGGGCTACTGTTCATCGTACCTACCTGTGTTCACTTCCTGTGGCGGCCGTAAGACATGACCACAGACTTGGTGGCTTGTGACAGCAATTTATTCTCCCACGATTCTGGAAGCCAGAAGTCTGAAATCAGTTTTTCTGGGCCACAATTAAGGTGTCAGCAGGGCCACGCTTTCTCCGGAGGCTCTTGGGGGGACAGAGAATCTATTTCCCGCCTCTTCCAGCTCCTGGTGTCTGGTGGCTCTTCCAGGACCGCTGTCTGTGGCTCTGTGGTCATGTCACCTGCACATCTTCTCTGCCTGGGGTCTCCCTCCGCCTGTCTCTTATCGAAACACTGGAGATTGCGTTAGGGCCACCCAGGTAATCCAAGGTAATCACACCATGTCAAAATCCTCAATTAAGCCACCTCTGCAAAGATCTTTTGTGTTCTCTCTCTCTCTCTGCCATATAAGGTGGCAATCCCAGGTGCCAAGGATGAGGATGTGGACGTCTTTGAGGAGCGGTTATTCAGTGTCTGACACTGGCCCACAGGGATGGCGTAAATCATGCCTGGCACCTAGCCGTACCCTATTAGCAGTCTCAACAACAGTTATTCAACATCGTGCAGGACACCCTCACGAGCATGTGAGAAAAATACGTATCATCGCCGTCGTTGCTGGGTTCTGAGGCTGGCAGGCGGCACCCTCACGCTGCCCCACGTTTGTCAGGAGACTGATGCATCTGCTGATTGCTGACCCAGCACCGCCACTGTGCCACGGCCACCCACCCTGTGGCCACTCCCCTGCAAAGGGGCAGTCGACACAAGTTACTGAGAAGCCTGGTCTGGAGGAACTAGTGCTCCGGCCTGGGTGTGCACACGAGGCAGAGGGCAGCCCGTCCTGGTGGAGAGGATCCAAATCCAACCCACGCTGAAGAGGGAGGAGGAACGGACAGACCCACTCCCTGGCGAGCCGCCGGGCGCCCGGAGACACGTTATCCCGCGCCGTGGACGGGGAGCCTTCCCGGGACAACCAGGCACTTGGGGTTTTGGATTAAGATGCCATCTGGTTTCTGCCCTGGGTACGACCTAAGGGGGAAAAAAAACAGCTCTGAGAGATATAAGTGGGGAGGAGAAGAGAAAACGGAAGCTTCTGGACTGGGAAGGTTGCACACGTCCATCCTTCGGTGCATTTCTGGTCGTTTTAGAGCGACCTTATTAACCCCTCAGAGGCTGGAAAGAATTAACTTTCTTTCCAGATCCAAATGAATCCCAGTGATGGGGAATTTTAATAGAAACTGGATATTAAAGACGATGTTAAATTTGTCTGGCATGATAATAGCACTGGGATGATGAAGGAGAAAGTCTTTGTTCCTGGCAGCGTCCAGCATCGGGCCTGCAGCTTCCCCGCAAGTGGGTCCACAAGTACACAAGCCCGGACGTAGAAAGCAAACACGGCCAGAGGCTGACAGCTGCCGAACGTGGGCAGTAGGCAAATACCGGTGTCCATCGCTCTTAACTTCTCTGTGAGTCTGGAAACTTTGGGTCATGAAAAAGTGGTGGGTGTGGGGAGAAAGGAAAGACGGTCAGAGGAACCAAAGCGCTCAATAATCGTTCTCCCGAGTCACAGCTCCACGGAGTGGGTGAGAGGGAGGCCTCAGAGCCCGGCGGTTTATGGGAGCAGAGATGTAAAAGGGGATGCAAGGCAGGGGTGGGGGGGGGGCCAGGGAGAGAACGCCTGGCCGAGGGGCTCTCCCGGCATCAGGGCGGGAGGAGAAGCAAAGCGAGGAGGCGCATGAGCAAGGGGGACAGGCTGTGCGCTGGCGGTCCTTGTGGAGGACGCAGGGCAAAGCCAAAGTCAGCCGGGGAGGAGGCCGAAGGTCGGTCGGTGGCGGGCGGGGAGCGGGGCCGGGCTCCTGATACCTGGAGTCTGCAGCTCGGTCGCTCTGGCTCTGGGGAGTCTGCTCCGGCTGCACCTTTAAATATAGAAGAATTGGGCCGGGCGCGCTGGCTCACGCCTGTAATCCCAGCACTCTGGGAGGCCGAGGCGGGCAGATCGTTCGAGGTCAGGAGTTCGAGACCAGCCTGAGCAAGAGCGAGACCCCCGTCTCTACTAAAAATAGAAAGAAATTAGCTGGACAACTAAAAATATATAGAAAAAATTAGCCAGGCATGGTGGCGCATGCCTGTAGTCCCAGCTACTCGGGAGGCTGAGGCAGCAGGATCGCTTGGGCCCAGGAGTCTGAGGTTGCCGTGAGCGAGGCTGACGCCACGGCACTCTAGCCCGGGCGACAGAGTGAGACTCTGTCTCAAAAAAAAAAAAAGAGCGGAAAAAAAAATACAGAAGAATTGGGCGGCCCAGGCTTCCAGAGGAGAGAGCCCCTGAGACTCACAGCAGCGAGGTCTGTCAGGTTACGGCGGACTCTGAGCTTCCCGCCAGGCCCCCGGCCCCGCCCCGTCATCCAGCCCAACCAATCCTGCAATCCCACCCCTGAAGAGTGATTGGCTCAGGCATGGGCATGTGACCCGGCTCTGGCCAATGAAATGTGAGACACGGTCGGCCAGGGGCCTTCTGGGAAGTCGCTCCATTAGGACGCCGTGCGAGAGGCGGTCTCTCTCTTCTTCCTCTGGATTCTGTCGCCTGAATGTGACACCCAGCACCGCGGCCACTATCTTGCCACCAGCCGGGAGGGTGGGGGAGGACCAAGCCAGCGTCGAGGCTGGCAGAGCAGAGAGGCGGAAAGAACCTGGGCGCTTGAGGACACCTCCGAGCCAGGGAGCCGGCCGCCCCCGCCGCCGGCCCCAGCTTCCTGTGGAGTGAATTCTGCACGTGTGTGAGTCGCCCGCCGCGATGGGCACAAGCCCGGGGAGCTGAGGCCCGGACAATACCCGCTCGCCTGCCTTAGGCAGGGTGGCCCTTCCCCCACTCCAGGAAGACACCAGCTCGGGGAGAGGGTTGCAGCTGGCTGTCGACCCCCGCTTGTCCCTGGCACCGGGAACCCCCCCGCGCCCCGCCATCCCGTGAACAGCCCACACGGCGGTATCACAGAGGCCGCCTGACCAAACCCCCTCTCCCCGGGTGCCACCTGCCAGGCTGGTGCGTCTGCAGAGGTGGAGAGTCTCCCCCCCACCCCCGTCCGTTTCCGGAAGGTTCTAGCCCTCGAGAAGCTCAGGGTGGTGCAGCTCCCCCCCCCCACCCCGGTCAGCCCTTCCCAGGTACTTGCTTTGCAAGGACAATTCGCTTTTCCTCGATTCTTATCCAAAGCGCTATTCGAATGCAATTTCAAAGCCCACCCTCTTTCTTTCCCACCAGAGTGACCCCTGAGCACCTGTGGCGGAAATCCTAGAGAAGCGGCACAAGCCCCTCGGACCTGCTCCGAGGGCCCTGGGAGCAGCTGGAGGCTCTGAGACACACCCCCCACACCCCCCCCAGAGACGCAGCCAGGGACCCAAAGGTGGGTGGATACCAGTTTCCCACAAAACGTCCTCAAAAGCCAGATGTTTCCAAAGTGGATCCAAACCCCTGTTGTCCTCCCACAGAACAGCTCAGGCTCAGCGTCTTGGGAAGTGCGGCTGTTGGTGGGGCCCAGGGGATGTGGGGCAGGGTGACGTTGAGGGGCCAGCAGAGTATTTCGGTCTTGACCCTTGGGGCTCCGTGCCAGAGTGGCCAGGCACTCGATTTGTGTGTCTCATCTGAGAGGGAGACCGTGTCTGCTCCCTCTCCTGACCTGGCCTGAGTTGCACTTCCACAGCATGCTGGGTTAGGGAGGGCCCTGCTGAAACTTCTGGAAGACTCAGACGTGGACCGGTCAGCACTGGCAGACAGGAACACCCACTAGCCACCTGGTCCAGCCACAGACATGTGTGGCCCTTCCCCCGGCAGCCTACAGAGCCAGGATGCCACAAAGGGGCAGCTCAGGGCAGTGATCAAAGGTCGGGATTTGAGGTCAGTTGGATCCAGGTTCAGGTGTCAGCTCTGCCTGTTCTTAGCTGTGTGACCTTTGAAAATGACCTCACCTCTATGTTCCTGTTTTCCTGTCTACAAAATGGGGATGATAACAGTAGGTCCCTTTTGGCGGGACCAAATAAGACAGTGTACACAAAGCACTTAGCACGCTCCCTGGCACGCAGTCTCAGCAAAGTGTCCGGTGATTGGCAAAGACGCATGGCACTTGGCGGCTTGCAACACGCTTTCTTTCTGCTGAAAGAAAGAAAGATACTGTCCCACCGCCCCACAGAGCTGCTGCTCTGGTCTAAAAGGCAGAGGGAGCCACCCTGAAGCGGGTGTTCGGATGGTACCTTCCAGATGCCCCTAAATATCTTCAGCTCTCCAGCACAACCACTGGAAAAGGTTGGCAGGCGGCCCCCGGGTTGAGTTCTGATGCTGGTGCTCACTGGCCGGATGATGAATCTGGGCCAGTTCCTTCCCCTTTCCGTTCCCAGTTTCCTCAGCTCAAAAGTTAAGACCTGGATCCTCTCCCGGGCCCCTTTTCCTTCGGCACGCTGAGATTTCCCACTAGAATGACGTCGACAGCCTCGATTATGTCTGTAAAACCTTCTGGGTGCCCCTCTGTGCCAGAGGCAGGCTACTTTCAACACCTCGTTGCTAGTCCTCCCGGCAACCTGGGCAGATACGCCATCTTAGCCCCACTGTGAAGATGGGGAAACTGAGGCTCAAAGAGGGGATTGCCACAAGGCCACACTGTGAGCGTGGCAGGGATGGGCTCTGAACCCAAGCTGGTCAGATTCCAAACTCATCTTCTCCCTGATGTTGCCTTAGTGCAAACCCTCTAGAGCCAGTTTGGCCTCTTTGCAAGTGACTTCATTGCTGTTGGTGACGTTAAGGAAAACCAGCCCCGAGGGCAGACGTGTTCACGTAACTCTACTGTCACTGCCAAGAAGGCAACAGTCCAGATCCCCACAGCGAGGAGGCAGCGCAGCCCTGTGTGGTTCCATGAACGTTGCACCTGTCCTGTGTCAGTCCCTGCACCAGGTGGGCAGTCAGGAGAGGAAAGGAGGCCCAGCCCTGCCCTGGGAAGCTCGGCGCCTCATGAGGGCTCACAGACGACTGCAAAGCAGCGTGATCGGAGCCTGAGAAAGGCACGCAGAAAAGTCCAGAAAGAAAGCTCCGTGCAGTCCTGCTTTGCACTGCACCTCCTTTAACTTTCTCGTGACGCCAAGAGCACCTCCGGGCCCCACTCGGGCACTGCCTCGCGCACGTCTGCATCTCCCGTGCCTAGAACAACCCCTGACGTAGGTGCACCAGCTGGCCCCAGCCGGGGAGAGCCACCTGCGCCCCTCTCCGCCGAGTTCCGTGTTTGGGGCCATTGCAGTGGTAGCTGGAAATCGGGAGATTTACACCAGGGCAATGGGCGCGCGCGCTTCTGTTTCCCAGAGAGCCACTTGTTCAACCTCCAGCAGCACACCACTCTCGAAGCCCCCAATTTCTTTGAAGCATCCCACCTTTTCTTTGAAATTCCCATGTAGTTTGCAATTACATCACAAGAGATTATTTTTTATTTTAATAAAACATCTTTAATGACCGGTTACGTTTCTTTATTCCCACCCGCCATGCTTTGTGAAAACGGATACTCTGTGCAGGCTGCCGCGTCTGTCCCGTGGGTCGGTTGCGTGCAACTGCAGCTGGATCCCCTGGTTTGAACAGCAGCGTCGTGGGGAGGGGGGACCAGGCAGGGCAGAGGGGGTGTGCGGGGCAGTGACGCTGTTCTGCGTGATGTGCCGTCCCAGCCCGTGGAACGTCCAGCACCAAAAGGGAACCCCGATGTGGCCTGTGGACTCCGGGAGATGACAAAGATCCCTCGAGGGTTCACGGACGGTAGACAATGTCCCGCTCTGGCGCTGGAGGCTGACGGTTGGGGGGCTGTGCGTGTGCCAGGTGGGGGGGGGGAGGGCACACGGGAACTCTCTGTACTTTCCACTCAGTCTCGCCGTGAACATAAAACTGCTCTAAACAATGAAGTCTGCTTTTAAAGTTAAAAAGAAAAAAAAAAAAAGCGAGCCTTGCATGATGGCTGGGTGTCCTTCCAGACCTACGATTCCATAGGGGTTTGTCTCCCTTCTTTAATCAGCACCCTCGAAAGTCAGATTTCCTGCTACCTGTTCCTACTCCTGTGGGGAAGGAGCTGCGGCTGGCACAGGTGCCGGCACCTTCCCTGTCAGACGTCTTCACCGCACGGTTAAAGTCTGGGGAAGATGAAAGGCAAGGGAGGTCTGGTCCTTCCACTGGGGGGTCTGGTCCTTCCACTGGGGGGTCTGATCCTTCCACTGGGGGTCTGATCCTTCTACTGCAGTGGTTTCCCCAAGCGTCAGCTCCCTATGCCCCAACTGAGACCCACAGAGCTGGAACCAATCTCCGAGGAACATTCCGGAGCCCCCGCCGTCTAACGGGGGTGGGTCAGGCTGTTCCCAGGAACAGCAGGAGAATGCGTGGATGTTGGCTGCCACCCACCTCAACCAGCAGCTCAAAGTGCCTTGGGCGTCAAACGGCCACTCTGCCAGCCTAACTGCAAGGCCCTCCACCTCTTCCAGCCTCAGTTTCCCCAGCTATAAAATGGTGATGATGATGTCCGTCAACTCCATGGGGATGGTGTGAGATTAAATCAGACACAGCTAGTTGGGAAGACAAGGCCCACCAGGGGCCCTCTGGACGTGGGGGCTGCCTTGGGAGCCCCCCATCTCCCCAACCCCACCCTGCACCTGTGCAGTCCTCCTGCCATTCCTGTGTGCACCCCCACTGGGGTCTCGTGCCCACCCGGAACACACACCAGGGCAGGCATTTCCCTGGTCAGCAGAGGCAGAAACTGAAGCCTGGAGCCTTTCAGAAACTGAGCCAATTGCTGGCAGGAATGAGATCAAATTCCCCTCTGCCTGGTCAGCCCCCCACCCCAGACACCGGGCACCTCCTGTGCTCTCCCGGGATTCCCCAGCACAGAGAGGCAACCCCAGTCCTTGGAACGAGAGGCGACTCATCACAGCCTGGTGCCACGTAGCCCAGGCGGAGAGCACCGAGGGACCGGCCACACGCACTCACCCACTCCAACCACAAACATAAGACTCAACGAGGAGCACTGTCCCTGCCCTCCTGAACGGACCTGTCCCAGCAGATGAGAAGCTCGTCCCCACCAGAAGAGCGTATCCGTGGCCTTCCCGCCCGTCTTTACCAGCAACAGCCTGGGAGAGGGGACTCCTACTGTCCCCACTGCAGAGATGACAGCAACACTTGTCTCAAGGGTGTTTACGCCACACAGCCCAGGCCGCCCAGGCCATGGGTGGCTGAGCCAGCATGGGCAGCTGAATCTAGCCTTGACCATTACCTGGTAAGGGGGCGTCTCCCAGGCTCTGGGGTCTGAGTCAACTCACTTGTTCTTTTTGTTTTTGTTGAGACAGAGTCTCACTCTGTTGCCGGGGCCAGAGTCCGCCCAGCTCACAGCAACCGCCAACTCCTGGGCTCAAGCAATCCTCCTGCCTCAGCCTCCCGAGTAGCTAGGACTACAGGCATGCACCACTATGCCCGGCTAATTTTTTCTGTATATTTTTAGTTGGCCAATAAATTTCTTTCTACTTTTAGTAGAGACAGGGTCTCACTCTTGCTCAGGCTGGTCTGGAACTCCTGAGCTCAAATGATCCTCCCACCTCGGCCTCCCAGAGTGCTAGGATTACAGGCGTGAGGCCTCCCAGAGTGCTAAGATTACAGGCGTGAGCCACTGCGCCCAGCCTGCACTCCTGAAAATAAATCCCGAGCAACTGTCTCACGGGAGACACACCGAGGGCACCAGCACCTGCTGGGATCAAGAGCCCGCTGAGCATTCTGCCAGGGTGCCCTGGCCTCACAGAGACTGTCGTCGGGCTGGGGACAAGACTGAGCTGCTTCCCAGGAGTGAGCCTTCCACGTGCCTCGCCCTGCCCTGTACCACAGCGAGCTCTGCACAAACTCTCCTCCCACCTAGAAAGTCTGCCCAAGAGGACGCTGAGACTCGGAAGGGGGAGTGACGTGCTCAAGGCCGCACAGCAAGCTGGTGGCAGAGTCCGGCTTGGAACCTAGGCTTGGGCGCTCTCCTCTGCCCCTGGCCCGGCCCCACCACCCGCAGGACCCGGCCAGCAGGTCCTGCCCTGGGCATCACACCTGACCAGGAGGTCGGCTTTGTCCCAAGGAAACCTGTGCTCCAGCACTTGGACGCAGCCTCCGTGCCTTTAAGCTGGTGCGTCTCACTCTCCAGGGCAGTGGAGGGTCTGTGCAGCCTTAATCTGTCTCAAAGGAGAAAAAGTGTCCCCGAGGCAGCAGGTTGTGTGGGGCTGGTCATGTGTGTCAGACTCGGATCAAGACCTCGGAGCTGAGAGATCCGAGTCTGGCTTTGGGACGAGCGTGGCTCAGGCCACCGGGACCCGGCTCCCAGAGCCCCACCAGCCCGCCGTGGGGCTTGCAGAGTGACGGGACAGAGCAGGGTCCACACCCGGGCGTGGGCACTGTTACCCCCTGACGACCAGGCATGGCCAACGGCCTAAGTGACCGCCACGTTGGTGCGCTGGTCCCCAAACTCTCTGAATGACAGGAAGATTCCTGCATGATATAATAAGCTTAAAAAAAAAAAAAGATCCTAGTTAAAAATACGGTCTGGCACCTGAATGAAAACGATAGCTGTTGGGTTTGTGGGGGAGGAATGTGGGGAACGGTTCTTTTTTCCCTTTTCAGATTTTATATAATGCGGTCGCTGTCTTATTTTTATGATTCAAAAAAGTTAAGGGGGGAAATGTGTTCACACCAAAACCCATGGCGCATCGAGGGGAGGCGACGAGAGAGATTGGTTTCCCTTCCTCCTGACGCTGGCCCCCACCACAGCTCCGGGTTCCTCGCCGCTGCGGCCCCCTGGAACCCAGCCAGCCCGGGACGCCACGCCCTGGGCCCCGGGGCGTCCCCACACTCCTGCCAGGCCCTGGGGGACCACATGGGCTCTCAGGCCCCCCGAAGAGCCTCCGTGCCCAAGGCATAGTCGGATGTCTAGAGCAGGGGTTACGTATTCCTGTAGAACACCTGGGAAAAGCCTCACCCAAAATACGGCCCTCATCTCTGCCCGAAATGCCCCATCTGGGCCACCAGGGGCTCCTTCCTAACCCTAATAGAGACCACTCTCCGCCCCCTCATGCCTGTTTCCATCCGTGCGAGGCACAGGGCGCAGTTCCAGCCTGAGGTCAGGACCCAGGGCCTCCTCCCCGGATGAGTTAAACGGGCTGTGGCTCCTCTCCTGGCGGTCCCCAGGCCACCCACCCCGAGGCAGCCAGCCAGAGCCCACCAAGCCCTGAGACACTGCCCGCCGCTCTGCACTGCCCCCCACTCTCAGCTTGGAGCACAAGGCCCTAAGGGGCCCACAGGGAGCCCCGCGCCGGCCCCCTCCTGCCCAGCCGCCGGCCACCCCAAGCTGGCTCCCATTTCTCAAAGGACACAGGGCTCCCCTGGCATGACACCTCCTCCCTGCTCTGCCCGGCTCTGTGCACACCTGAGCTCCCACACTCAGCTCGGAAGCCGCCTCCTCCGAGCAGCCTTCCCTGACCTCACTATGTCCAGTGTGTGTCGGGGTCCTCCCACCCACCATGGCACTCACCCCACACCCAGCCTCAGAAAGGTCTGGAGGTTTTAACAAGAGCTGTGGATTGCCAGCCACGCTCCCTGTTCCAATCTCCTAGGAAGGTTTGACCGGGCCAAACTGCAGATAAAACATCCGTGTGCAGCCCAGGCCGGGGGACTTTCGGGAACCGATTCTCCAGGGCTGGGGCGGCAAAGACAGGTGTCTCTACGGGGCTCTTGGGTGATCCTGGCAGGGCCTGAGCCCTGGACCCCACCCTCAGGAAGGCCCCAGAGGCTCTTGAAAAGACAGAAGAGGGGACAGATAGCCCAGAGTCCCCAACAAGCCGATCATCTCCACCTTCGAGCATTTGCCGGAACCTTCCAGTGGGAAGCGTGGCTTTAGGAGAATGTACGGGAGGGGGAAGAAAGGGAGCTCTGGGAGGGGTCTCCTGAGTGAGGCCACAGGCTCTCCCCCACCCCGGACAAGCCACAGAGGCCGGAGTTCAAGTCCCGACTCGATGCTCCCACTCTATAGCCTGGGCCAGGCAGGGCCCTGGGGCCGCATCCTGGCAGGTAGGCTGCCTCCGGCCCGAGACCCTGCCTCAGTCACTCCCCTCATTCCCTCCGTTTCAGGCGGGCACCAATACGCATCACCTTAGGCAGAAACACCGCACTAAAGACAGCACTCCTTCCCCATCTTACACATCGCCCAAAATGCCGGGGAATTTACACGCTGCAGCCTTTGCTCCTGAACCCACCCCAGATGGACCTACACGCAGAAAAGCAGCCATCACAGAGGCTTAAAAACAATTAATCTCTGGCCGGGCGCGGTGGCTCACGCCTGTAATCCTCGCACTCTGAGAGGCCAAGGCGGGAGGATCGCTCAAGGTCAGGAGTTTGAAACCAGCCTGAGCAAGAGCAAGACCCCCATCTCTACTATAAATAGAAATAAATTAATTGGTCAACTAATATATATAGAAAAAATTAGCCGGGCACGGTGGCGCATGCCTGTAGCCCCAGCTAACCGGGAGGCTGAGGCAGGAGGATCGCTTGAGCCCAGGAGTTGGAGGTTCCTGTGAGCTAGGCTGAAGCCACGGTACTCTAGCCCAGGCAACAGAGTGAGACTCTGTCTCAATAATAATAATAATAATTCATCTCCAAACTTAAAAATAAAAGGCAGCAGGAACCATTCCGGCGGGTTCTGGTGTCTTAATGGTTTCTCGCATTCCCCTCCCCCCCATCCCCAGCTGCTCCCACTCCACACTCCCTGGGCTGGATTAAGTGAACAGAAACCGGCTGGGGCTGGGCGTGGTGCGGCG